ATCAAAGTCCATAAAAACATCTCCTGGTACATTACCAAAAATAGAAGCATCTCGAATGCTTCTAATGGAGATTAGTTTTAGGTACACACTGTGTGGAAGAAGAGGACAAAGAACATTGTGAAGGATCAAGTGGAGGAGACGAGGAAATTAAGCTTCCCTGGGGTCTGTTTAATGACGATATTAGAATCTTTTGCCTCATATTGTACACAGTTCTGAGGTTTCAAATATATCTATATCTTAATGCTTGTGCCTTGAACATCTAATCCATATCTGCCTCTGTTCTTTCTTTCTTTTTTTTTTTTTTTTTTACAGAGAGGAAGAGAGAGGGATAGAGAGTTAGAAACATCGATGAGAGAGAATCATTGATCAGCTGCCTCTTGCACACCCGCTACTGGGGATGTGCCCGCAACCAAGGTACATGCCCTTGACCGGAATCAAACCTGGGACCTTTCAGCCCACAGGCTGACGCTCTATCCACTGAGCCAAACTGGTTTTGGCTGCCTCTGTTCTTTCTTATTAAGCTTAATCTCACACTATAGACTGACCAACACCAAGGAATTGCTACATTACGTAAAGCTGGCAGGAAGCCCTGGTGTTTTTTTGAAAGTGTGAAATTACAATGCTTTCTTTTTATTTTTCTATAAGCCAAAGATAACCTAAGTAGATTTTGTATAAAATTGCATACTCTTCCCTGAAAACCTGGGTGAGAAAATACGCACCTCTTTCTGTTTCCTTTGTCGGCTAAGTGACACTTCCACTGTCTGATTCTGAATAGAGATCTCTGAACCTTTGACTTTCTCTCCTTTGGCATCCAATTAATTGGAAAGTCCTGGTAATTCTCCCTCCACTGTGTGAGCTGACACCTTGAAGCGGTTCTTCACCATCATCACCTCCGTCAGGAAGCTCTGCTGCACCCGCTCCCAGCTGGCCCTCTCCCTGATATTTCCATCATACCGCTGAACTTGCCATGTTGTGTTATAATTATTGCCAATAATATTCTCCCAGGGCAATGAGTCTCAAATTTTGTCACACATTGGAATCATAAATAATTAAAAACCAACTCAATCAGGATCTCTGGGGAGGGAGACCCAGGCAAGGTAAAAGCAGCACCTGTGAAATCTGAGTGTGCACAAAGTTCACCTTGTTGAAATGCAGCTTCTCAGGTGGGGCCCAAGATTCTGCATCTCCAATGAGCGCCCCGGTGACATAGATGCTACTTATGGTAAATCAGCTCAAAGTTGCCCCCAAGTTCATTCATGTATGTTAGAAGAAAAAAAATCACATTCCTTATCTGCATCTGTATCTATATATCTTAAGCTCACAAACTCTTACTCAATAAGGCCACTTATTCCTACCTTGTTACCCCTACCTGCCACCACCATTCTAGGTGAGTCAGGTGTTGAAATTTTCCTATACGTCAGAGTTTGGGTGTCAATATCTCAGCTGTTCGCAGTAAGTGCCTCCCTAGCCAAACGGCAGAGTCCATGTTTCTCTGTTCATCTTATGGCCATGAGTGAAATGCTGAGGAGTATTAAAACAAGGAAAAGAGGAGGGTCTAACTGCTCTCATGTGCGCTTCAAGCTTTAAGTATGAACTTGTCTATTCACTTTATTGTCATCCAATCCCTAACTCTGTCTTCTCTTGCTTCTTGGATGCTTATGTGACCCTATCTTTTTTCTCTTTGGACTCTCGACAGCCCTTTGTTCCACACCAATTCTCAAATTTTTCTTGCTCCACAATTGTCACTATCATCTCTATTGCCTTAAACCCAGGATAACTGGAACCAATGAACACAAATACAAATATAAACAAATTTTTATAATATAAAAACATTTTTCTTCTACTTTAAGTGTTATTTGCTCAACTGCATTACTTTTCCTCAGTTAATGCTTCTATCCGTTACCTGTACTGATTAATCTTTTCAGTTTTAGGTTTCAAGAAGAGGCTCTAAGTAACTATTACTAGGGCTAAGGATCAGTTAGTCTTTGTACACCTTTACAAGGGAATCTCACTATTGTCTAATGGTTCCCAGAGTGTTCACTGAGGTATGCTTGGGTGTAGCAATGAACTTACTGGGGCACCAGGAAATATTTTAAAATTTCCAGGGAAATAATGCAACAAACCCTGAGCTCTGTCAGACATCTTGTGAAGTACTAGCTCAGAGTAGTTCACAGTTTCAACAATAGGTGGTGCTACATTCCTTTTGATGATGTTACATATTTGTGAAACTGGCTTGACCCCAGCACTATGGCAGAAGGGAAGATTTATGCAAAAATCAATGTGGAAAAGGGAATGAGGGTGGTGTCCAGTCTGAGAAGTTGTGCAGTGCCCAGAAGGCGCACACCTTCCATTAGTAATCTGTTAACTGATGGGTATTTTTGTCAAACAGTGATTTGTGTTAAGACCATAAATACTTAGTAAATTGTTTGGACCTAATTATTTCTTTTGACCTGAGGACACTGTGAAAAAAATGATTGAGACATTAAGGACATTATGAATTGAGAAAATGTGGAACCCCTGCTATTGCCTGATCTTGAAAAGAAAATTTGTTTTCAAAATCTTCTTGACCCTATAGATCTGGATAATCTCATCGGTTTCTGTTTTATTCCGTATCTATTAAAAGTGGACCAACTTGTTGCTACATGAGGAACTCAAACAGATTTCTTTTTAAAAATTTATTTATTTATTTTTGTCTATTTTTTTTTATTGTAGTTCAAAGCACATTATAGTCTTCCTTTTGTCCATGGATGATACATAACTCCAAAGGCAGACTCGGGAAAATGCCCTCTGAATAGTGCACGAGTACCTCTCTCACACATCAGATGCAGCAAGCTGGCCACTTCTGGACAACTTCAGTCTCTGCCCTTGACTTTCTTCTCCAGCTAGCATTCTCTTCTGTGTCATAGCTTCAGGGAGGTGGAGGAGGGGCAGGCGAAGGTGAGGGAGCGAAAGTGATCTTGCTGCTAATAAAATATTCCAATCCAACCAATCAGATTGAAGCTGTGCCTCTCTCCTTTACACTTCCCACCCACTGAGAGATCCATCAGTTACCTCATTTTACTTTTGCAAAGATATAAAAATCAATATTCCATGTCAAGGCATTATCAATAAATGTAATAGAGTGCATAGAGTGGATTTTTCAGCAATAATAACAACTTCTGTATGCCCCTACTATGTGCCAGCCATTAGTTCTCATCTCATCTCACTTAACTACATGGCAACTCCAGGAGGCTGGCATTGTTGCCTGCGTTTTCTAGATGAGAAGCTGAAGCCTGGAAGGCTAATCACGGGCTCTGGGCCACAGCTCACGACTTTTCCCTGCGGCAAAACTACTTCCCACAGTTATAATCCTAGAGCGGATTCCTAGGCGGCTCTATTCATTGCTGCTCCTCGTGTCCCGAAATAGCCTGCCTTTCTTTAAAAACGCGTGTTATTTTTGTTGTACCAGGGCATCACCGTTTGAGAAGAAAAAGCAGAAAAGAGAAAGAGGAGGATCAATTAGACAAAGCACTTGAGAAAATGTCTATGACAGTAGTTATTTGTATTCTAGAAAGTGCTTTCAAGATGATAGGATTGTTAGTGTTTCTACAACCATTACCCTATTAATGCAGCGCTATTCAAATTTCACAAAGGAAACAGGGAGAAGGACAGGAACGCAGACTGTCTTCAGCAGTCGCACAGCGTGTGAATTTCACAGCAAATACAAGGCTAGGCCCTTGGGGGTCTGTGTTGATGTTCACCCCATTCACCGAATACTTCCTCTCCCACTTTATTCCATATTAATAATTCACCTCATTGGAACACAGCCTGGTTACCTCAGCCCAAGCCATGGCTGGCTCTCCCTCACTGATAGTGGTAAATACTTAAAGAGACTTCTCTGCCAGCCCTGAAGAACTATTTGACAACAGACTGAAGTGTGACCACACAGCCCTTGGAATCTGCAGAATTTATGCCATTTGCAGATGCCACTATTGATGTCTGAAACCGTAGCCGCAATCATAAACGAAGACGTTTATCATCTCTAGCTACACGTTCACCCCTGGTTTGTTTACACGCAGGACGTGTGACAATGATTTTTCTTACCAACACCATATGATGAAACACAGCACTCACAAAGTTCAAACCCCTCTCCCCGGCTTTTTATCTCTCACATCTTTACAGTATGCAGATATTCTGCAACACGCACGGAGCCCATGATAAAATGTCAAGCAAACTCAGGCTGACAGCGGAACCAAGCTGTTTCCCTGACTCAGCGCCAGCCCTGGCTCAGGGCGAGCAGAAGCGATGCCTCCTCCTCCCACTTTCTGGAGGCCATAAAATGGCCAGATGATATTTGGAAATAGCACCTCTCCATAACCATTTGTCTCTCCTGTGAACCTCGCCCCAGCTAACTCACAAGTCTTGGAAATGCCTGGCTCTCGCCCATTCGCTGACACAAGACAAACCGGCCGCAGCAGTCCCAACAGCCAACCTCAGGCGGTAGTGGGTTTTGGGGGCAGAGGGCTCCGTTAGGTCGGAGAATGGCTGGCACTGTTGGTACCGGAGTTAAGAAATAGTTAACTTGAACCTGGCCAAAGAACAAAAGCTCAGAAGGTTCGCTTTCAGACTGAGAAAAAAGGGACCTGCCTTTCCTTACGGCTTAATCGCTCTGTTCCTATTTTTAATACATCCTGCTTCATAGAATAAGCCGGGCCATATTTTTCCAGCTAAAGTAAAAATTAAAGGATTTATGGTAATCCTGTGCGGATGGTTGTGGGCGTTTCGTTTCCCACCGGGGCATTTCTCTCTCTTTTGTAAGAGCGCTAGCATTTCTTAGCTAATCCTCTACAGTCCTCTACCTGAAATGACTCAAGTGGGAGGAAAAATAAAAAAACTCTTACCAGATAAGCAACAGTTCTTACTGTGTTGGGAACTAGTGCACACCCTCCCTGTCGGTGCACTAGCAGACACTTCTTCAGGCTTTTAAAACCACAATGTCAGAGCACCTAATGGAATCCTACCTTGCCCACATACTGATTCCCGGATCCCGTGTATTCCTCCAGGAGAAAGAACTGATTCCACATCCAGCTCCTTTTCGAACGGTTCAGCTCATGCCTGCTGTTTCCAGAGAACTCCGGGGCCCTTTTCTTTGCTGGGAAACCACTAGTCCTCTTAGACAGCGGAGTTGAGAAAGTTGGGTAGGGCTGACCAACCCACAAGAGTAGCAAGAAGTACCGGTAAGTTCTCATTCTGACGACACGGTCCAGGCTCTGGGCAGGGACGCCTCTCCTTGAAGCTGCTTTGGTTCACTGCACTGTATTCAGCGTCATTCCTCCTTTCTTCCTCAATGTTCTTTGTGTGCCTCGCAGAGGCTATCTGGAAAGAATAAGAACATATCAAGTGTTTTTAGAGATGCTTAAAATTCAGTGTTAGAGTAAATAAGCTCTGGCAAAAGAAGACATGCATTTAAATAGCAAGACAACAAAAATAAGTTGGCTATCAGTTTTGAAATGAGGAAAAATGGTCCTTTAGATGTGCTAAATGGAAGGCATAGGGCCAGTAGGAAACTGCTTGTTTTCCTTTCGCCTCTTCTATCACTTAAAAATCCTATTTTAAGTGATTGCATTGTTGTAGGTCAGCAAGTGGCTGATTTCATGATTCAGGGTACCTGGCTGAGATCTAGTGAGAAGAAATAAGTTTGTGTTTCTGACTTTACAGGGTGTCCCCCCAAAATGTATACACACTTTAATGGCTAATGGCTCAATTTTGAAAATAAAATGTATTTTAATAAACACCGCCTTTATAGTTATTCAAAATGTGTATATACATTTTTTGGGACACCCTATATTTGCATATTTATCCTCACAAACAAGTCTAAAGCAAAGAATATTACAGACAGTTTCAATGCAATCGAGAGTGGAGTGTTGAAATTTTGCTAGACTGTAGTGAGTACCTGTGATGTGTGGACCTGTCCAGGTGGAGCCTGTTTTGCAGACTCTTGCATTTGGAGATGAGCTGATAGAACAGTCTGGGCCAAATAAGTTTGAAAAGGCCATACACCTTCTCTTCAGAATGCATATTAGCATACTGAATTTTCTGAAATGGAATTTTGTAATGATGATGATATGCCTATATTTAATTCAATATTTCCCACATTTAACCAGGAAACTTAATTTTCTCCTATTGTTACCAGTGAGATAAAAAGATCTCGGTTCTTGTCTTCTTGAAGGAAAGATTTCAATCAAGAGACGAAGTACAGCAAAGTAAGATTTACTGGCCATAGCAAAAATATACTTAGCAAAAATAAAGCAAGGAAGGTACATAGACGAAGTAACTGGAGAGCCTAGGCTGGGCTGCTTTGGCTCACTGAGAAGTCAGAGCAAAGAGGGCCTGGGAGACAGGTTTAAAGGATTAGCCTGGTCTGAGCTACCACTGCCCATTGCTCCCCTAGTTACAAGTCTTGTGGGGTCCCTTAGACTCACGGAAAGAAGTGGGGAAGGGAATGGTGCAGGCATGTTCCCCTGGGGGAGAGTGTGCTGGGTCCTTCATCCTGAGCATACATGAGTATCTCTCTCTTGCAGGTGGAATCTTAGGGGCACTCTCAGGGAAGGGGCTCAATAAAATTTTTATCAGCTTGCTAAGTGTGCTTTTTCAGGGTTGTGGTCTCCACTGATGGATTGGCTGGTGCCAGAGCAGGGGGCATTAGTCATTGCAGTTGGTCCTGAGGCAGCCACAGAGACACTTTTCCTGATCTTGCCACTTTTCTGGGTCTGGAACTGAAATACTACTGAGGACTAGTTAACTTTTTGGCTTTAAAATCAATCTTCAGCCCTAGCCAGTTTGGCTCAGTAGATAGAGCATCAACCTGCTCACCAAAGGGTCCCAGGTTCCATTCTGGCCATGGGCACATACCTCGGTCACAGGCTTCTCCCCAGCCAGGCCCTAGTCAGGGTGCATGCAGGAGGCAACCAAACAATGTGTTTATATATTAATAAAAATATATATGTAAAAACAAGTTTTGTTATATATGGAAAACAAGAGATTTTAAAATCAGCAGTATTTTGAACAAAATAATAGAGTTATAATTATTCTCAGTTTATTCAGACCCACATAACCAATTTTTGTTTATCCTGATTATTTGCAGAGTTTTTATAAATCCAGTTATTTCTTAGCGTTCTATAAATCTTCATCTAGCTTAAAGATATTACATGTTTAGAAACCTGGAATTTAGAGTAAATCAGAGTCCTTTTCATGAACCTTTCCAAGGATATAACTAACATATTGGCAAATACATCAGAGCAAAACAACAACTGTCTGTAAATAACAAAACTTAAAAGGATGTGGTTATAGACATGAATATTATGCAACTGATAAAGAACTTTGTTTTTTCTTTGTAAGATATAACTCGTCAAGATAACAATTTCTTGGTAAATAATAATTACTGTGAAATGACTCAAAACACACATTTTTAGGTTTTATACACATTTCAATATATAAAGAACAAATAATATGTAAGATTTAAAAATACTACATGTGTGCACTGAGCACTGAAAACAATTCATAGGTTTCCAATGTATGGACCGCAAACACATGGAATACTACTCCTGGATGCCTCCACAAGGAGCCATCCCTCTTAGCTTGCTCGGTGTCACTGACAGGACACCTGAGAGGTTTTTTTTTTGTTTGAACTTGGCTTTGAATTTTGCAAGTTCCTTCTTAAGGCAGGCTGAAAATTTTAGGACATTCACTTTAATAAGAATATAAGTAAATAAGTAGAACATAGTTATTATTACTGTTATTATTGTTATTGCATATAGCAAAGCTCCCCATGTAATTTTAAGCATACTAAATAGCCCTAATTAGCTCAAAAACTTCTCTTATTTTATAAGGAACTGATTTTTGAAGCATTCTAGGGGCCCATTGGAATAACTCAAAATCATTTCTCAGGTAAAAAATGTTTCTTAAAATTTAAACTTTGGGAAGGCTGTCAAACAACCAATCAAAAGATTATAAAATACATTTAAAAAATAAACTCAGGAAAAACAAATACATATTTTATAATAATGATTTTAAAAGATGGTAATACAACCTATACTGGTTTTAACATTAAACATTTTTTCCAGAACACAGGATCCTAATTAATCTATATAAATATTTCATTTGTTTAGACCAATAAATATTATACCTTCGTTATGCCATCTGGAGATAGAAAATACACCACATATAATATAGATGAGCACATATCACGTAAAGACCATACACATACTCAAAATCATCCAAATTACTAATTTCTGTAGAAAAGCAACAAAATATTTTTCATTTACTTTTGACAACATTAAAGAAGGAGGTGTGATCACAAATCTTTTTACCCATTTAGAAATAACCAGCATGAGAACAACTTTTTCTTTTTTTTTTTAAATTATTGTTTAAAGTATTACATATGTCTCCTCTTTCCCCCATTGACCTCTCTCCAGCTAACCCCATCCCCAGCACATGCCCTCACCCGCCTAGTGACCGTGTCCATTGGTTATGTTCATATGTATGCATACAAGTCCTTTGTTTGATGTCTTACCCGCTCCCACCCCCTGCATCCCCCATCCCACCTTCCCTCTGCGGTTTGACAGTCTAGAGAACAACTCATTTTCAATAATTGTCCTTCAAAACCCATTGCCATATTTTATAACTTCTATTTTTAAACTATACAGTTTCTTTTCAATTTAATTTGAATTCTTAACTTTTAGAAAAGTTATTTTTTTTTTAGTGACAACTGAAAGTAAGCAATTAGCATGGTTTAGATTAGCAAAGATATTTTATGGCTTCTAGAAATAGGAGCTCTTTTATTGGCAAACACTCATATCTTTAAGAGATGTGTCTAACAAAGTATAAGACACTATTGACAGCTCTAAACCTATTTTCTATCTTTTTTAGTAATAAAAGGCCAAAAGTAGATGAACTTAAGGCTTGTCAGTGTTTACCAGTTAAAAAAGTTTATTTGTTGCTCAAATAAGTTTTTTTTCTTTAAATAAGAATTACCTCGTAGAAACTTGCATTTAAAAAAAAAAATGGTGCCGATAAGATTTGGTGGCCTTTGAATTGTTCTTGGAGCCACACCTTGGGCCCTGTGAAGATTTCATTTGTAAAACCAGGAGAGTGGGTTTTCTAATATCTCAAGAACTGGGTTGCCACCCAGGCAAAGAACTGACAATTTTATTCACCTATTTTTTTTTTTAATGCTTTTTTATTTTTTTTCCCTATCTGGATATACTTTTCTTCTAGGTTCTGTAGCAATTACAGAGATGTAGTTTACAGGTAGTACATTGCTTAGGGTCATCCCTTAGAACAAGAGAGACTTGGGTATATGGGACCTCTGTCTATTTCCCTGGGACTAGCAAAAGTGGTCTAGCTGCAAATCTTACAAAGGGCTGGATTGTTCCTTAAGGCCATAAAGATTTGGATTTAGGGGACTTCAGCCCATTTCCCCTGATGATGGCAGAAAAGATCTATCTAGAGAATGGTGTTTTATTAAGGTTTCTATTCTCTGGCCAGGCCTCCTGGTTCCCCAGTTTGTATCGGGGCCATGCTATATTGCAAAATAAGACTAATCTCCTTTTCTTTAAGGGCTGGGAGTCACATTGTTGATCAGTGCTTGAGGATGTATTCTAGGGGAATCCTGAGGAATGGAGGGTTGGTTTCCCACCTGGCAGAGAGTGGAGAAGAGTATGGGAGAAACAGACATCCCCTGCAATAGTGGGCTCGAAGGACAGTGTCCCCTGCTTCATGCCCAGGTTTCCAGACTCAGCCAACCTGTCTCCAGTCCTGTGCAAGAGACCGAGTCCCTAAACTCACGATGGGATCTTTCTCTTCTCAGACCCCTTGCTGCTGTGGTTTGGATACACCCTAGTCTTGAGCATATGAGCTTGCCAGTAAATTTCTTATCTTTCCCATTCCTCAACATGCATAAGGAAGCCTAGCAGGGCAGTGCCTGACATCAGGGACAAGGAGCTGACTCCTCATTGTCTTTTCATTGATTTCTGAAATTCTCAGAAAAGGCGGAGGACCCACTGGAGAGACTCAGTATACAGAAAAAGTTGCCACCTTCCGCTCTGGGGCCCTCTTTGGTCCCATTTCAGTTTTCTATAGATATGACCCTTCTCAACAATAGGTGACATGGCTCTCTACAACAAAACAGACCCCCTGCAGGAGTTTCCCAGCATACTCTATTTAGTAATTTTGTGGTTTTGCTCCCCGAAACCAGTAGGTAGGTTGATTAGAATAAGTTAGAAAAGCGAGGATCATGTTCTCTTAACAATTACAGTAAATTAAATTCCTTTGCAAACCCATTGGGACTTTTATCCCCGCAGTCATCTCAAACCCTC